TTTAGAGTCATCCAATTTTTTATGTCCTCAAGACAAGCCTGTAATCTACCCAACCGATTAGGTTCATCAGGGTTAATGGATAAATATAACTGAGTATCGTCAGCATAACAGTGGAAGTTTATCCCATGCTGTCTAATGATTTTACCAATTGGGAGCATATATATAGTAAAAAGAATTGGTCCAAGCACTGAACCCTGTGGTTCTCCGCAAGTAACCCTGGAGTATGAAGACGATTTGTCATGTACATTTACAAAATGAAATCTGTCAGACAGGTAGGATTTAAACCAGCCTAACGCTGTTTCTTTGATCCCTACAACATGTTCAAGTCTTTCTAAAAGAACATTGTGATCAACTGTGTCAAAGGCAGCACTGAGATCTAAGAAGACTAGAACAGACGCAGTTTCAGTGCTGTGATACTCTCTAAAACCAGACTGAAATTCCTCAAACAGAGCATTAGTGTTTAAATGCTCACATACTTGGATGGCCACTATTTTCTCCAGAACTTTGGATAAAAATGGAAGGTTAGATATTGGTCTATAATTCATTGGGTCATCTGGATCCAGAGAAGGCTTCTTAAGTGAAGGTTTGATTACAGCAACCTTAAAATCCTGTGGTACATACCCATTTACTAAGGATAGATTGATTATATTTAGAATGGGGGCACTAACCAAAGGAAGTGCTTCTTTAAATAATTTGGTTGGGATTGGATCCAAAATGCAAGTTGAAGGTTTAGATGAAGCTAATATTTTTGATAACTCTGAAAGCTCAACTGGATCAAAACGGTTCAAGCACAGATGAGGTTCTACAGTCACCTCTGATGCTGCCTCACTTACTGAGGAAGAATAAATCGCATTAGGGAGGATGCTAAAGAGGCATAAATAATCAGGCAAGTTTAAAAATGAAGAAATTTATTTACTAACAATTTTAAACTAAAAGATTTGAAACGACAATCATAAAAATGACAATTCAGAAATGGCAATTTTGATGACAATCCTTAACAGTTTTGATATTACTTGTTAAAAGCAAACCTGTGATGGATGGAGCTAAAATTGAGAATGATGGGTTTTGAATGTGTGAATGCAGGTCTCAGCAGGTTTCCTGTGGAGGGAATGGAAGGTGTTCTGGATGAAATGATGTTTTACAGATACCTGAGTTATTTTTAGAGAAAACAGCATCAAACGTCATCTTTCGTGTTCTACCTCACCCAAATCAGAAGGCCCCCATTTGGATCCGAAGTGTCCAGGTGGAGGTGGGTTTCCTCCAGGCATAAGGTTGGTAGAAAAACCTCTAGCCCGACCAGATCGGTCCTGGGATGTCTTCTTGGGTACACGGCTGTACGAAGCATTTGGCAGATGCACGTTCTCGTATTTAAATTAACTTCAGAAATCAATGACTCTGGGAGAGTCTTGCGTTAGCTGGTTTACGGTTCATTTATTCTTTGGCCATTCTTGTCGGCATGACAGAACAGCTTGCATGAGGGTCAAGGCGGCCGTCCCTGACTCCTCAGGATGATGTCTCGTTCAGAACTGGACTTGAAATCTGTGATGGTTAGATTTTACCAAACTCTCTCAGAACCCCTCCCTCTCTCCAGAAGGAAGCTTGTCATGCGTCAAAAACATGTGATGCAGTTATTGTTATCTGAACCCTGTGTTGGATGAATAGTGAATGATCTTGTTGCTAAACACATCTTTAGTCATTAATTATAATTATCATTATAATACCCAAAGCATAATAATCCATTTGATGTAATTAAAATACCTTTATAATGAACCAGTGATCATGTATTAATGATTATTTAAAACAGTAATAAAATCAATGAATTATTATTATTTAATTATTATCATCGTGGCTTGAAGTGTCCTTCTTCTGGGAACAGCAGATACTGGTGTTATGATCTTGGCAGACATCGCGGCTCCTTGGGCTTTAATCTGTGGATTCAAAGTACTGTTTGACCCAGCTTGACCCAGCTGGGCAAATGTGACCTTTGGCACACAAATCAGAGAACCTTCATCTTGCTACATTTCTTAGCCAACAGGCTGCAATATATACCAAGATGGTTGCAAGATAACCCACTAGATGAGTCCTGGTTAGATATAGAACAGACACTTTGCAATACGATAGAGCTTTCAGACTTACCATTTATTAGATCAAGCAAAAGAAAACATGAAAGCTTCAAAAGTATTAGTATCAGCACCTCTCTGACAGCATGGTGGGAGTATCTTAAAATGACAGTCTTCACTAGTACCATGCAGACGCACACCTATCTGGAATAATCCTGATATTTTGCAAAATAACCAAATGATGAACCTTCCGGACTGGAAAAATAAAGGGATCCTATACCTGGAACACATATGAAGGACTGGACGTCATCCCATTTAATAGAATAGTCTCCCAATTTGGAATAGATAAGAATAGCTTTTTAGAATATCACCAAATTAAATCTGTAGTCAAACAAAAATTTAAGCTCAATAAAATAGAATTACAAACACCACCAAGGGTATTTGACTTCTATAATCTCAAACCCCCCCCCCCCCATACTACAGTCTAAAGTATATAAGACACTGTCCAAAATAGACGATAGAATACCAATCCCTATTGAAAAATGGGAGGTGGATCTATCAGTCAGCTTTGACCAGAACGTCTGGTCCCAAACTTGGTTGAAAACTTTTTAAATGATCAGACACTCCAATTTACAATTAATTCAGTACAAAATTCTACACAGAGTACACTATACAGGTCATCGGATGTTCAAGATGGGGTTTGTGTTATCTGACACCTGTACACACTGCACAAACGACATTCCTGACAATTACATTCACGCACTGTGGTCCTGTCCACCTGTCAAGGAATTTTGGGGTAGAGTATGTGAAGATCTGTCAAAGTGTCTGAAATGTCATATCCCAACTTCCCCCCCTCTTTGTTTACTGGGAAACCTGGACGATGTCCCGATTGAAACAACTTTGGTTCACGTGGTTCTGACTGCCATACGCATCACTAAGAAAACTATCCTCTTGAATTGGAAGAATAGAGAAACTCTCTGCATTAACCAGTATAGAAATCTTTTGTTAGATCATATTGCACTTGATTTAGCCCCTGCTTCCACTTCAAATCAATCTCTCTGGGCTCCTTTGATCGGTTCCATCACATAGCGATGATGGGGGACCATTGATATTGTCCTGCGGGATGATGTGGGTGAGGGAGTGGAGTTTCTGAGTTTGGAGTATCTGGACGTTCCCTGGAGGGGGGTTCACTGGGGGGTGTCTGGGACTGGAGGGCTGTTGCCCCCCTCTGGAGGTGCTTGGGTTGCCTCGGGGGGTGGACTACTGGCAGTTGAGAATGGAGCCCCTTGAAGGTGTTGGCGGCGGCCATGGGTCGCTGCCTGGCAGCTGCATTGACCCTGGGCGGGTCTGGGTGGGGGCCTGGGGGCTCGGGGTGTGGGGGTGGCCCTGTGTGGGGATCTGGGCGGGGCCTTGGTGTAGTTTGCTTCGGAACTTCTATAGCCTCCTGCTGCTGGGCAGTAGTCTGAATTTTGGCCCCCATACCGTGCCATACTGACATGTATGCTGCCGGGAAGAAGGCGGGAAGAAGGCAGGAACATGCAGCAGTGCCTGGCCCGTGTTCAGGGGCCTCCGGTATACCTTGGCTCCTCTGCTGTCCAATTACAGGGGAGGGGTAGGTCCAGGAGGGGGAGGACCCAACCTTACCTGGATGTCCTATGTCTTATATATTCTGGAAGTTGTGCTTGGCTTCCTGGGGCTGGAGGCTAAGAGGGAGATCTGGCCATCTGGTTGGGGTCTGGGGTGGTGGGTTGCTGTGCTCAGCATTGGGCGGGGAGCCTGCTCATCAGCACCCCAGCAGAAAGGGTCAAACTCTGGTAACCGGTAATGGTTGTACCCCATGTGCAGATTTTTGGAGTCTGCCTGATCAATCCCGGTGGCTTTCTGGTGGGGTCTGAGTCCCTGGGCTCTGCTGGGTCCCCGGCGGGGTGGTCACCCCTGAGTCCCGGGTCGCTGGATCCCAGGCTCAGCCGGCGAGGGGGTGGGAGGGTGCGGGCGGGCCTGTGGGCTTGCCGCTGATATCTCCCGGGACTCTGCCGGCTGCTGGTTGTGACCCCCCAGGGCAATCCTCTGTGCCTCTCGAGGGGGGCGGGGGCCTTTCTGGTTGCAGTCTCCTTGGGGTTCCTGTGTTCTGGGGCAGCGCCTGGATGCCTGGGATTTTATTTTGTGTATTCTACTCACCTGTCCACATGTGAAACTGCTCCAGCTGTCTGAAGCCTTTAGCTGAACGGAGACGGTCTTCTAGCCCAGTGCTTCTCAGCCTTGGTCCTCAAGGACCCCCTCAACCTGCCTGTTTTCCATGTTGCCCTTCAAAACATCAGTGTTCCCCAGCTGCCATACCAGAATAAATGATTAACAGGCTTCTGCATTACTTGACGTCCTCCTGAGGAGGCAATGCAAATTTGTAAATCATGTGTGCTGAACCAGACTCAGAAAACCTGCAGACCATGGGGTTCTTGAAGACCAAGGTTGGGAAAAACTGTTCTAGCCTTGAGCCAAGGGGCGTTCAATTCTGGGCCTGGAGAGCCAGTACCTAGCATGTGTAAATTTTAACTGTTTGGAACACCTGATTTCAATCAGCAGCTGATTAACAGGTTTCTGCAGAGCCTGATGAGCAGCTGCACAGGTGACTTAACCACAACCCTCCAGGACTGGAATTGAATGCCCCAGCTTTAGCTGTTTGGTAAAGGGTCTTCCAGCCTTTCTAATCTCCTGCAACAACTATGACTAGTTTTCTGTGGTCTTTGTCCAGTGTCCACCCTGATGCCAAACAGCAGTGACCACCTTACAGGAGAAATAAACATCTAAAGCCATTTGGTTTTCTAAAACTGATGCAAACTGTCATTTTAACCCATTTCCTGTACAGATTAAAAGTTCTGCAAGATCGTTTTTGCATACTCTGTGTTTGTGTGTCAAGTTTAAAGAAAAGACCAGTTCCAACTCTGATTTTCTCATTTTTATTGCAAATTTTAAAAAAAGGTGCCAACTTTTAAATTTCAAATTCAAAATAAACAAAGAATACCTAAAATAATTTATCATACAATAACAAATTCATAATATTTGTACAAATATGGCCTAACTGCAGTCAGGTGGAGGTAGGTTTGCCAGGTTCAACGTGAAGAAAACAGAATTCAAAAAATAAAATAAGATCCCTGCGATAAGAACCTCACTGCATCTTCACTATAGAGACCAAACTTCAACATAATAAAAAAAATAATAAACGAAGAATGTAGAGCTCCTGCGACAAACCATTATTGGAAGAAAAAATAAAATACATTAGCCAAACAGAAATCACAGAATCAAGAATTCCTGAAAAAGGCCAAAAACACCTTTTAACGACCTGAAGATGGAAGAACCGAGTGGATTAAATTAAAACATTTTAAGACAAGAGTTCAATGTTCTGTCATTAATGTTTCCATAATGAACAACACTGGCATGAGGTTTTCTGAAAGGTCTCCATCTTCGGGACTTTGCTCCGCGGCAGCCGTTAAACATCCATCGGGTCCATTTAGGCACAGAAGGAACATTTCGTCTTATATTGGTCAAAGTCTGGTTGGGGCCGTCGGCTGCTCAGTATCTGACTATTACAGCTTAGTCACAACCATCATGATGCAGATAAGCTCTGATCTTTAAACTAGATTTTATTCTCTTTTCATTGATGAAACAGATTGTCGCTGCTACTGCAGCAGATGTCTACAAAGATACGACTGGAAGATTAGAAAAGTTTGTGTCCAAATAACTTTAAAGCCACCTACACCTGTCCGGTTGGAGGGAATCACTGGTCATTATGGCTATGAGACGTCCTGAAAACAAGATTCTCCCTTAACACTGAGCTACTGTGGCTTCCAGTTATCTGGCCCAAACACTTGTCTGCACCTGCACCGCGGGGGGGGGGGGGGGGGGGGGGGGGGGGGGGCAAGGGAATACATAAAAAACAGGGATTTAGAAAAAAAGTTGAATAAAAATCTACCTCGCAAAATCCCAACAGTCAGCAGTCATGGCATACTAAGTTTTATGGTGACGAGTGTGTTGTGTTATGTTAGAGACCAGTGTTTGTCATACATTATACCAATCACTGTTAACAAAAGGTCCATTTTTGAAATGCTTGTGCGCTTTCAGCAGCGTGCGCCTTATAAAGTCTCTATACAAATTCTGGGAGCTGCGCATTAGCTGCGGAGCTGCTGCAGCCGGGCCTTCAGCGCCTCCTGTCTGGCTCGGAGTTTGTCTCTTTTTGTCTGGAGTCTGTGGCCATCGTCCTCCAGCCCGTAGATACAGTCTCTGGCCTTCTTCAGGATCACCACTTTGGACGCCTTGTCGTTGTGCGACAGCTCCGGAACGTTGTCGCGCAAACGCATGAAGCAGTTCTTTAGCTCGTTTCGCCGCTGTCGCTCCATCACGTTATGGGACCGTCTCCTTTCCTCCTCATCCTCCGTTTCTGTAGAGGGCCTAGATGAATAGTGGTAACGTGATGACGAAGAGAAAGAATATGAGGAAGATGTGGAGCTACGGGGAGAGTGGTTGAGGCGAGACGAGCTCTCGCTTGCCCTTGAGCGTTTGTTAGATGTTGGAGGTGGAGGAGAGGCGGGACGGGGGGCAGCGTAGTTGTGCTGGAGCTGGATCTCCAGGTGGTGACGCTGACGAAGACGATGCTCTTCTTCTTCTTGCTGTTGTTTACGCTTTCGCGTTGTCAGGTCGGAGGTCAGAGGGGACAGGCTGGAGGGGCCGCGGGCAACCGTAACCACGTCGATTTCTTCCTCTGTCACAGCAAAGAAGAAGAAGGTCAGTTTTTCCTTTATGGTTTAACTTTGTTCAACAAACTTTCAGTTACACAACCCTTTTTGAACTTTGTTGCATTCAAGAGAAATCTGACACCATAAAAACGGGGTGTAGACACTGTACACAACACGTGGATCGCATCACTTTCTCCTACTATGCATAAGTCACTTCCTGTTGCCTTAAACAGCCACAAACACGGCAGATCAAAACGTTACATCAGTTAGAGATCAATAAAAACTAGTTAAAATCAATAAAGCTGAGTCCATTTATGACACCATTTTAATATACGCAGTTACATCACATCCCTAAAACTTAAAACTTACCGATCAACTTTACACCATCATAGGTGAGTTCAGATTAACGATTCAAGTACATACAAACATGCAGGAACTCTGATCCCGGGTCAGAATCAGGACCGAACCAGTCTGCAGCCATGAGAAGCCCCACTGATGGGTTCTATGGGTATATATGTCGATGGTTCTAACTCACCAGAATCGCTAGATGAGGATGAGCTGGCTGATCCATAGTCTGATGTAGTTTCGCTCGTCTCACCCGTCTCATCAGCACCCACCAGGTTCTGACAGTCCAGCACAGAGCCGGCAATCTCCTCGAAGATGCTTGTGTCGATGTCTGACAGCAACGGGCTGGTGCCGAGCATGGAGGAGACCAGCTTCTCCTCCAGATTCTTGTCTGCAGCAAGGCACCTCCATAGGAGCTCCTCGCCTCCCTCCTCTGAGGGGGAGCTGGGCTGACAAGACTCCTTCTCTGTGTAGTTTGGGTCAAAGATGTCCCAGGCGAGATGCTGCATGTCATGGTCCTCCAGCAGGATGTCTGACACGTAGCTCAGCTGGTCCTCCTTGGACAGGGGCTTACCACCTCCCAGCCCGGACTTCATGGGAGGGGACTGGGGGGGTGTCGGTAGCGACTGGAGGTCCTTCATCAAATTTTGGCAAAACTCATCATCAAAGAGCAGCGGCTCAGTGTAAAGCCATTCCGGCGACTGAGAGAAACTCTGCAACATGTTGGAGCGCAAATTCTGAGAAGAAAATCCAGAAGAAAGAGGTAGATGGTTAAATCCAGAGGGAAGTGGAGTAGTGTGTCTGCAGCAGCAACTCACTGTAGTGAAAGTTTAAACCAGCTCCTCCACACTGAAACCCCCCACAGCCTGGGTGCCTCCTCTTAACCGTGTTTACACCACCGAGGCCCCGCCCCTTTCTGCATGGGAGGCCCGTGTCATCCCCCTAAAGTTCACTCCCAACTCCCCATGACATCACAGACACAGCTGGAACTTTATACCTCTTTCCCCGATCTACATTTGCCCTGCGCAGAAAATTATTACGAAAAAAATTTTCTGCAAAAAAAAAAGAACACATTTTAAAAAAGCCAGGCTAATCTTAGAAACAAAAAATAAAACAAAAATATGTTGAATTTTTAAAATAAAAAAAATCTGCTGAAATGTTAACAGAAATGTTCCTTATTTATTGTTAAATGTAATCAGCCGGTGATGGGGGGGGGGGGCGCTCGTGGTGCTGCTTCAGGGTCCAAGACTGAGTCGGAGAACAAAGCAGCTGTGTCTGAGAGCTAAAGGCTGCCTCTATTTCAGCAGGAAACCAGAGACTTCAACACATTCCTACTTGAGTCTTTGAATGCAGCAGCGCTGTCTGCTGCAAACGACCTCACGCGATGCCTCACGCGGGTCTGTCTTAATGAAAACCAGCTGGGAAGGAAAAGGGTACTTAAAAACCATCGAGATTAAATACGCAAACTGCGCGGCTGTGTGAGGGGCTAAAACCGGAAAGGCTTCCAGCCCTTTAAAACGCTTCATCAGGCGGAGTCATTTAAAGTCGGCGTGGGCTGAGCATCTCCGGGTCTCCACGTGAAACCGGCAAACCAGTAAAACCCAACAGCAAAAAGCAAAACCACATCCAACATGCAGCTAAAAGATGTCATAAACGCTACGTGCTTCTGGTCTAGGTGTATTTAATTCGCCTGCAGCGGTCTTACCTTCTGATTTTAGGAGAAATCTGGGTTAAAATGCAAAGTATCCAGTAAAGTCCAACGAGCGGACCGGAAGTCAGATGTTTCCGCTTAAGTGAGACTTTTTGCGAGTGAAGTTCGAGTCAGAACAAGGCAGCATTATTGTGTTTAAGTCCCGGGTCTGGTTCTCCTCGTCCGCCGGTACCCTCAGACACAGTGGGTGTGGCTGCGGCTCGCTCACTTTGTATGTCGCGGTGGGACCGAATGTTCCTCCGCCGAGAAAACGCGCCAAAACGCAAAAACCACCAAATGTTTGTTAGCGGTGATCAAACTCGCCGCCTAATTACACTCGGAGGGCCAATGTAGACAATTAATTCTGGCGGAAAAAACACGATTCGCTGCAATGCGGGTTAATATCGCCGTGAAAACGGGGGTCTATGTGGCGGAGGGATACGTGGAGAGTGGATTCCAGGAAACCGATGGCGGTAAAAAAAAAAAAAAGTTAGGACACACGTGGATTGTGAGAAAAAGCCGGGTGTCTTTGTGTGCCGACGGTGGGCGTCAGTTAAAGCTGCAAGGAGGGGCGGAGACTGCAAATATTACAGTTATTACGTGAAGAAACGTTGATTTATGCTACGTTTATATTCTAGCTGAGAGAAAATAAACCAAAACAGTTTTATTCTGAACCATATTCCTCTTGTAATGTGGCAGTGTGACATGCTGACTTGATAGATGTGCTGAACGCTTTCATTATCCAGCTCGACCCAGCTCCCCACCTTCACCCTGCACTACAACCTCATGTCAGTTTTGTCGCAGACTCGCAGTTCTGCATCTTAAATGATTTTTTTTAATGTTGCTTTTCATATCCGGATTTTTTCCCTTTATTTGCATAATGAAAATATTGTAATTTTTGGTCCAAACGTAAAAACAAAGCCCCCCTGCATGAAACACTGACACAGTTCTGCATGAATGGGCTGCGGATGGACGCTGCAGCCCTCCCACCTCGTCTTCAGCCACTACGGGGCTCCGTTACATAACGGGAAGGGATTCACTGGTACACGTGCAGACACTCCAGCCAATCAGCGTGCGACTCAGTCCCGATTCACGTGGGCTCTCTGACAAAATTTCTTGTAACAGGAGCCACATACATTAAACTATAGTCAAAGTGTTTTAATAGAAAGGCACCATCATTCCACAGCAGTTAGTCTGACCCAGAACATCAAAGTTTCTCAACAAGCCCCCAGCTTTTACCTCCAATCAGATACAAATCACACAAAAGGCTGCTACACCCATCCTCACATGTAAATATACTGCTTTTATTTCTTCATTGGATTCATGCAGGCCCCAATTCTCATGTAATCAAGCAATTTCAGAAATATTTACAGCATTGTTGGTGGCCTGTCTCATGGTAATTACACGTCTGGAGAGAGGAAAATGCACTCCGTGCATGCACACAGAAGATCCTGGGAGCCAGTTGCAGCCAATGAGGGTAAGATTGCAGCAGCACAAGAGGACATTGAGTTCATTCAGCTGCATAAAGTAAATAAGTGGGTTAATGTGCCACCTACAGGCTAGCCGACACACTGTCCCAGTTTCAGATCTGAGAGCTGAACTCCTCTCTGGAATCATAAATCTCTGCTCGTTTGGCCATTAATTATGGGATTTCCGCATCACTTCGGAAAAAAAGCTAAATAACTTCAGTCTCAGAGTCATAAACGTTTACCTAAACCAAATTCACGCAGTCTTTAATTTTACAGTTTTATATAACTTTCTTCTGTAGAAATAGACAAACAATTAAAAGTTGATTTGTTATTTATTGTTCTTGCGGATTCATCTTTTGGGGTAAAATGAATACTTTGATGTTTGACAGCAGCTGGGTTTGTTTAAGTGATTAAAATGAGAACAAAGTTTGTCACATCAGCTGAACTTTAGCTAAAATGTTAATAAAATCACTGCTTTTATAGTGATCATCCAGGTGTCAACATCCTCACCAGCTGATTTTATCACAGACCAATCAGCTGACTACCTGGTGATTCAGTGCTGTAATAAATCTGACAGAGGGCAACTTAAACCTGTTTCACAACAAACACTTTTGCTGGTGTTTAAAGGACAAACAGGAACAAAAGGTGGATATCAATGAAGGCTGCATTCCAATTCTGCTCCTGTGGATAAAGTTTATCAGTCGAAAACTGAGGAAAAACAGAAACTCATCAGAATGGAATGCAACTTTATTAAGACAACAGAGTCCAGAAAGTTTTAAAGGTGTGGATGACTGAAATTTTTTTTAATTATTATTTCTGATAAAGTGGGGCGACGGTGACACAGGGGTTAAGTGCTCACCCAGTAATCGGAAGGTTGCAGGTTCGAGCACCGTTCAGTCTGTCGCTGTCGTTGTGTCCTTGGGCAAGACACTTAACCCACGTTGCCTGCTGATGGTGGTCAGAGGGACCGGTGGCGCCAGTGCTCGGCAGCCTCACCTCTGTCAGTGTGCCCCAGGGCAGCTTTGGCTACATCGTAGCTCATCCCCACCAGTGTGTGAATGTGTGAATGACTGATTGTGTTGTAAAGCACCTTGAGGGGTTCCAGGACTCTAGAAGGTGCTATATCAAATACAGGCCATTTTACTATTTACCATTTATGATCACTGAGTTATTCATGCGGGCTGAACATGAAAATAGTCTTCTACACCTATGTCCTGCATTAGCTTCTGATAGAAAATTGATGGTGAAACGCTAGGATTTATAAATCCTGACAGATCAACGTCACACTGTGAATTTGCATGCATGGCCTCACCTATATTGGCTCGTGACCACACACTAGAAGGCTTTTTAACACAAATTTGAAGTGAGGAGAGAGAGAGAGAGAGAGAGAGAGAGAGAGAGAGAGAGAGAGAGAGAGAGAGAGAGAGAGAGAGAGAGAGAGAGAGAGTATCTTGGTGATAGTGACTTTGCAACATGGCTGAATGTGTCCTGTTAGCCAATCAGAAGCTAGGTGTGTGCATATCATTGATAATAATGAGTAATCCTGCTGTTTTCAGCCCACCTCTGCATCCCAGAACAGCAGCATCATAGCTTTTTTTTAATGACTCATAAAGCATTGATTTACACTAGAGAACACTGCAAATGTATTTAATAAACAAGTAAACCACACCTTTAATGACAGTTATTTTCCTGAGCTTAGTGCTGTTTTCCAGAGACGTGAATCAGCTGCGGTTTCCTGATCAAATCACTTCCCCATCCCTCATTTACATGCCCAGAACCGTGATTGTGATTAGATTTTTGGTGACACCCGGATGTGTACTGCACATAAAAACATTAACCTGCAGCCAGCAGTTTACCTTCAAAACCGAAGGAAAACTCAAAGCAAAACGAAGATGTGAAATAAGGATGTGGAAGCTACAACCTTCACAATCAGTCTCTGTTTGGTAAAATTTAGATTTGGAGACGGATAATTGAACTAAATATGTCGGAGTCTCCGAGATCCTGGAAAGGAGCTTCAGCATTTATAAAGGAAAGTTTTGGACATTGTAAAACATAAAGTTATAAATATTTTCTATTTCAGCCGTGGTCGATCCAAAAATACTCTATTCAGAAAAATGAAAGGTTGATAAGCTAACAGCTAGTTCGAGTGGAGGATTTTTATTTATTATTTATTTGTTTTGCTTTGCGTCTTAAATTAAAACAGCTCAAATCTCCTAGATTTTACTGTGGTTAATAGAATGTGTTGCTACGAAGAGACTAAAGCTGAAAACGCGGCTTCTCTGTTTTAGCTACATTCAGACCAGCTGACCAGTCTTGTGTGAGCGGTCATTTCAGTGAGATATGAGGATTAAAATGTGCTCTCCCAAGCAGCTGAACAGCCGGGTTAAGACAACAAAAAAGGAAGATCCTTTTTTCCATCGTTACTGCAGGTCATCGAGATCATGGGCAGGAAAAAAGGGAATCAGATGTCTTCTCCTTCATTCCTTTGAAATTACAGCTTTCACAGGATCTCACCCAAGTGAGTAATGACAGACCATCACAAACACACATGCTCACAGTGTTTCTAAATGTTAGTGCTGCATGAAAATTTATCATGAGAAAAATCCTCCACAATCACACGGGCGTTCAGGAGGGCCCATTAGACGATGAGAGGGGCCATGAAGATAATGAGGAACGTCCCACCTTCATGCTGTCAGAGCAGAAACTCAGAGACCACACAGGCTGCAGCCCCGAAGAGGAGAAACAAAAGTTAAAATCACAGAAATTCTTTAATGAAACGTTTGCCGTGTTTGCTTTGTGGGTGTCGAGTGACTCAGCAGCAGTCCAACATAAACCTGGAGACAATCAGATTATCCTGAGCCTGCTCCCAAATGATGAGTGAAGGATTCATTAGAATTATAATAATACTTCTTCTATTGGCTGCTGTTATTTTATTATCTAACTTTAAGCCTGCCTTAACGCTGAGCTTTGCAGTTTACAGAACAAGAAAATACGCATTTTCATCACTCCATGTCTGGATTTGACATCACAGAAATTAAATTAATGCAACAATAGAATAAAGCAGCCAGAAATCCTAAGTTAGAGCAGCAGCAGCTGGAATTTAAAGGGCCGGAGCGGTTTTGGGTGGAGCTTTTCTTTATGCGTTTAGACGTAGGCGAGCATCCGCATGACCGCAGTCAGCTGGTGGAGGACGGAGGAGGAAGAGAGGCAGGCGGCCGGAGAGCATTCCTTCTGGGAAAAGGCCTTCATGTGGTGTGTGTGTGTGTGTGTGTGTGTGTGTGTGTGTGTGTGGCGCTGCACACTCCAGGCTAGTCATTAAAAGGAGGAACCACAGAGCTGCCAGTAACTGGGAAAAGTGCATCCTGCTGCACTTTCTCCACCCCATGTGTGTGTGTGTGTGTGTGTGTGTGTGTGCGTGCGCCCATGCTGTTCAAGAAAAGTAGCAGGATGAGCTCAACCAACAAGAAATCTTTTTAGATGTCTGAAGCAGGATTATTTATGCTGATACAAAACTGGATTATAATCTGTGTTCTCAGTGAAAACAACCACAGACCTCTATGGTAGTCAACTACTGACACATAAAAATCCATATAAACATTTTATTTAACCCCCCATAAACATCTTTGAGGTTTAAGCCGCATCTTAAAGGGATCCAGCTGCTCGGGGATGCTGGTTCAACTCCCTGAGTCTCCTAACAGAGATCCATCCCTCTGACTGCTGTCTTCTGCAGGTAAAACACTAATTATTCAT